GATTACATTTTGTTTTGGCTCATGTTGTGCTTACTGTAGTATCTAGATTCATGTTGTCTTTCATCAGTGATAGAAAAATTTCAACCCAAATCCATTGAATATTGCCTCTCCTCTATTCTCTTCATTTGTTCTCTCTAGTGCTCTCATTAGGTGTATATTTGACTTTCTTTTACTTGACTTTCTCTCTCTCTCTCTTTTTATTTTTGGTTGTCAAATAACCCTTTATTAAATTATTTTTCTTTGCAGTTCTTAACTAGCTGGACATTCCATCACACCACTGTTGATGTCATCTGTGATGTCGTAAGGGTGGTGGCCATCAACATTGCAGCCCACAGACTGGGCAGTTCCCAGGATCTCTTGAATGGTTCCAGAGAGTTCTCTAGCTAAAGATCAATGCCTCATCTGTCAGGCATTGTTGACAATCTAATCAAAAGTGATGTTTCCACTATGCTTAATGTTTTTCTGCTTCTTTCTGTCTCTTGGCGGTTCCTCAAGGGCTTTGATGATCAGGGAAGAGGCAGAAGGTATCACCTCAATCTGGGCCTGTCTATTTTGAATGGTCAGTTTCATTGTAATCCTCAGACCCTTCCAATCACCAGTTGCCGTGGAGCAACTTGGATGCCTTGGATGTCATCACCAGCCTTTTTTGGAGAGAGACCCAGGGGGCCGATCTTGGGGGCCAGGGCAGATGTGGCACCAATCTCCCCACTGGTGCACCTCAGGTATACGGCTTTGATCTCGCTGGGGTCGAACTTAGGCGGCATGGTGGAGGCCTCTGGTGTCAGATGAAACCAGATTCAGGATGACTGAAGAAAGTTGCACCTTGGCCTCCTCCGAGCCAAGAGCCAAAAGCTCTTTCTCTTTATTTTCTCTGTGCCACAGTCTAGGCACTTCTTCAGATACATCTCTGATTCACAGATTCTCTCTTCAGATGAGTCTAATAGGATGTTTATTTCATCCAGTGAGTTTTAAACTTAGGCAATTACGTTTTTCATTTATAAAGATTCTATTTGGTTCTCTTTTAAATCTGCCTGATCACTCTAGATCATCTATCGCTCATTTTTAATTCTACTCTTTTATTTCTTTAAACAATTCACATATACTAATTTTATATTCTATACCTAAAATATTAATATCTGAGATCTTTGGGGGGGCTTTATCAGTTATTTAATTTCTGTTGACTTTCATAATTATGATTTGTTTCCTTATGTGTTTAGTGATCTTTGACTGTGAACTGATATTTAGCTGATTTTAATCTGGGAATCCTAAGTTCCTTCTGACTTGGTACTACTTTAGCCATTGAATTTATTTCAATTATTGTATTTTTTAATTGTCACAGTTACGTGGTTCTTTTTCACATCTCTTTTCATTTTTTAAGCACATCTTTTATTCTTGTAATATCAATATATTAAACATTTAAAAAAATATTTATGTATTTATTTGGCTACACCAGGTCTTAGTTGCAGCATGTGGGATCTTTGCTGCTGCATGCAGGATCTTTAGTTGTGGCATTCTGGAACTTTAGTTGCAGCATGAGAACTCTTAGTTGCGGCATGTGGGATCTAGTTCCCTGGCCAGGGGTCAAACCTTGGCCCCCTGTATTGGGAGCACAGAGCCTTAGCCACTGGACCACGAGGGAAGTCCCATTAAACATTAAAATATATTATCTGATGATTCTGGTATCTGAAATCTTTGTAGGTCTTATTCTGATGTCTGTTGTGCCTTGTTTCCTTTGGTGTTTAGCAATTTAAAAAATTATAATCCATTTTCTTTGAAACTTTGGTGAAGTTCTTTGAGGTTTCAGGTGACATTGGGTTTCTACACAAATTATTGGCATTTGATTCTCTCAGGCACCTAGAGAACATTAACAGTCTAGGAACTACTTAAACTAAATTCTAACCTTGAGGCTTTCTAGTCTACTCAGAGTGATTTGGGGCATATGAGTGGTATTTGTAGTTACATATTTTCTGGGAAAATTTCTTCATTTTTTGCCTTCCATTAAGCAGTTTTCCTAGCAATCCTGGGGGTGGGGTGGGGGTTGAGGATGCTTTTGTTATATATGATTCATTTTTTAAAAAAACTTTATTTACTAATAATTATAGTTAACAGGAAGTTGCAAAGCAAGTACAGTGAGGGTCAGTGTAATCTTTACCCAGTTTCCTATAATGGTTCTATCTGTATTATTGAAGTACAATATCAAAACCAAGAAATTGACACTGGAACAATGTGTGTGTGTGTGTGTGTGTGTGTGTGTGTGTGTGTGTGTGTCGTTCTACACCATTTTATGGCATATGTAGATTCATGTAATCACCACCACAATCAAGATACAGAACTATTCCATCGTCACAAAGATCTCCATGCTATCTAACCTTCTTACCCCACAGCGATCAGTAATCTCTTCTCCATCTTTATAATTTTGTCCTTTTGTGAATGTTGTATAAATGGAATCACACAGTATGTGACCTTTTGAAAATTGCTTCTTTTCACTAAGCATAATGCACTTGTGACCCATCTAAGTTGTTGTGTATATCAATAGTAAATTCCTATTAACTGCTTAGTAATGTTTCATATTAAGGATATACTGCAGTGTATTTAATCATTCACTTATTGAAGGACGTTTAGGTTTTTCTAGTTTGGGGATATTACAAGTAAAGCTTTTATGAACATCTATGAACAGGTTTTTGTGTGGACTTATGTTTTCATTTCTCTGGGATAAATGCCTAGGAGTGTGATTGCTGGGTTATATCGTAAGTGTATGTATGTTCACATATGTTTTTAAGAAACTGTATCTCTGCTGTTCCATGGTTACACACTTAGAATTGCTGTGTCTCCTTGGTGGATTTACCCTTATAATTATGTTATGTTCTTCACTGTCCCTGGTAATTTTCTTTGCTCTTAAGTCTACTTTATCTGATATTAATGTAGCCAGTTCTGCTTTCTTTTCCTTTTTCCCCCCCATTCCAGCTTTTCTTTTGATTAATGTTACCATGGTATGTCTTTTGCCATCCTTTTACTTACTTTTTTTTTTTTAATATTTATTTATTTATTTGGTTGTGCCAGGTCTTAGTTGCAGCAGGTGTGCTCCTTAGTTGCGGCTCGCCAGCTCCTTAGTTCTGGCATGCGAACTCTTAGTTGTGGCATGCATGTGGGGTCAGTTCCCTGACCAGGGATTGAACCCAGGCCCCCTGCATTGGTAGCACAGAGTCTTAACCACTGTGCCACCAGGGAAGTCCCCATCCTTTTACTTTCAATCTACCTATATCATATTTGAAATGAACTATGTATATATGAACTATGCAGCTAGGTCTTGAGTCTGACTCAATTTTAGAGTACAGCCCTGAAGCTCCAGCTTTATGAGTGTCTCCCCACACACACTCAAGCAGGCTTTGTTCTTCAAGCCTCTGAAGGCCTATGAAACCACAGAAATCAATATTGAATGTTACCAATTTGACAAATACCCTTAAGATGAAAGGCAGCTTTTGTGCTCCAGTTATCTAAGTTCCTGTCTTCACACTCAGTCCTTGACCTATGCATTTTCTCTCTTTAATAATTTTCAGTGGGAAGGTTGGTGTGTGCATGTAATCTGCCATGTTGCTGGAGAGCCAATATAATCCTCAAAACAACTCTCTGATAAGGTATTATTGCTCTCATCTTACAGATCATGAAAATGTATGACATGGTGAGACATGATATAATATAATGGAAACACATGAGTTTTGAGGCAGGCCGACCTAGGCTTGAATTTTTGACTCCTCAGTTAGCTGTGTAACTTTGGGCAATTTATTTAACCTCTTTAAAACTCAGTTTATTCACCCATATTATAATATTTCTTATAGTGTTGTTGGGGCATTAAATGAGAAATACATTAAAATGCTTAGTATTTTATTTAGTACCTAGCCCTGAATAAATAGTAGTTGCTCCTATCATCATTGTTCTAACTGTTGTAAAAGATTCAATAACCTGCCCGTGGTAATTCAGCTAGTACATGGCCAGGCTGAGATTCAGACTTAGGTCTGTGATTCTAAAGCCCATGCTCTTTTTCCTGCACCATGTCACTTTCCTTATCTTCCTTAGAAAATATTCACAGAGAAAAAAAGAAAAATAATAATTCACAGACTTTTCATACATTTATTTCTATCCTATCTAAATAATCCACAAATATTTAAATGGCTAGGTTTGGTAGAGAATAGAAAAAAAAGAGTCTCAGCACTTGATCTCATATATTGCTAAACAGACTTCAATTCCCTCAGGAGCAGATTGTATTTAATGTACTACTTAAATATTCAGGCTTTAGAATAAAGAAAAAACTTAAACTTGAGTCCCAGCTTCTCAACCTCTAAGATTCACAATTCCTGGTCTGTTAAATGGGAATAACAACATTAACTCCCTAATAGGAATATTGGGAGGATAAGATAAAATAAAGTAATATATTTAGAACAGGGCCTAAAACATGGTAAATGCTCCCAAATGGTAGCTGCTGTTATTACCAAAGGCAGAGACTGTTTTCTACATTTTTCATTCCTCCCATTAGTTCAGTCAGTCAACGATTTGTGCCTCTTTGTGCACTAAAGAAAATACATGGCAATCAACCTGTTTGATACTAAACAGTGCACTAAATAAAAAGTATACTAAATTTGATTCCTTATAGCCAGAAGCTTATTATTTAAGATAAGCAAATCTGCTACAGAGCTTGCTTCATCACCTAAGAGTCTCAGAAACTACAGAAATACTTGGAACCATCATTCTCTCTGAGAATGTCTAAAGGTTTAAGTATCTTGGCATGTATAACAAAAGAAGTCTCTATTTCTGCTTTGGAAGATAATTTTCTCTCTCCCACAAGCAAGAAAAAAAACACAGAAAATTTAAAAAGACATTTCCTTTTCACTGGTTTATAAAGACCTGTTGTTCAAACTCATGATATAAAGAGATAAAGACATACATATTCACCCTCTGCCAATCATCAGGAAAATCTGTATCAACAAAATTCAGATCATAATTACCTTTTTCTGTTGTTCTTCCCCATCCACTTATAAAACACTTCGTGTTTCGGTTCAGTCTTTGGAAAACACCAAAAGGTAGACAGATAGGCTGAATATAATCATTATATCTCACTGCTTTTTTTAAATGAAAAAGCGCAATATCATTTTCATAAGATTCCACATCGAAGTCTGGATGGATAATGATTGCTTTAACTTTCATCATCTTGGAGTGTGGCTGACGCCCACCTATATTATTAGTTCCAATCACAACTCTCCACATTACAGGATCTCTGAAAGAAAGTAAATGTTCTTATCTTAAACAGGTATTTAACTAAGTAAATATTCTTAATCTCCCACTAGTTTTTGTTTTTCTCATGTTAGATTAATAACAAAAAAATTAATCCTACTTTCATGTGACAAAGTCATAGCAAGTAAAAACCTAAATATTGTGATGTAGGAAAAGAGAAAAAGATCAATGGGACAGAAAGTCCCAAACGGATTCAAGTACATGAGAATTTAATATATGGTAGCAATTCTTACCAATGGACAAATGGATGAATTATTCAATAAATGGTATTGGGACAACTAGCTAACTAACAAACTAGTTTGAAAAGTGAAATAAAATTAAATCCCTGAAAAATTATTAAACACTAAAATAAACTCCAAATGGATTAAATATTTAAATGCACGAATCTTTTAAATAAAGACTTCCTATCTTTTAGAGATACGTAAAGTGGTATGTCTGAGATTTCTTTCAAAATAATTAGAGGGGGAGTTGGCAAGAATAAAGATGAAACAAGATCAGCCATGAGTTGATAAACTGAAGCTGCATATTATGCATATGGGAATTCATTAAACTATTTACTTTTACAAATTTTTGAAATTTTAGAATGAAACATTTGGATATTAAATTAGGATGAGAAGTTTAAAAATTAAACCAGAAAGAAAATATAGATGAATACCTAACATTGTTATGGAAAGGATGCCACCAGGGAAGCCCAAATTTGCCTTTTTGTAATTCTATTTGAGCAAGTTGGAACATTCCACTGGACTATATCTCAGTGAGAAAGGACTTTATAAAGCATGACACTAAATATAAAAGAAGCAACTAATGGATCTTGACGTCTTTAAAAGCAAAAAGCAAGCAGAAATCAAACCAAACCAAAAAAGTCTTCTGTAGGTCAAAAATCAACAATTAAAACCCCAAGTGGTTAATACTTATTGCATGTGAAATTTACAAATGCCGAAATTCCTTTCACCCTTCAAATTGGCAGAGTGTGTGTATTTAATGATTATGCTCAGTGCAGACAAGAGTCAGAGGAACAAAGTTACTCTTATTCACTGAGGAATATATAAATAGATAGGCACTCTGGCAGCATGTACCAATAGCCTATAAAAGTTGCATTGATTTTGACACTGCAATTCTACTTCCTAGAATTTATTCCAAGGAAATAGAAGATAATTAGCTATCTTAAAATTGGACTAGGTAACCTCTAAAAAGTTTGTAAAAATGTTTATACAGTCCTAGTTCTATTGTGTTTAAAAAGAAATTGTAGCTTAAATGCTTTAAGCTGCTTTAAAAAAATGATGTTTGGGCTTCCCTGGTGGCGCAGTGGTTGGGAGTCCGCCTGCCGATGCAGGGGACGCGGGTTCGTGCCCCGGTCCAGGAGGATCCCACGTGCCGCAGAGCGGCTGGGCCCGTGAGCCATGGCTGCTGAGCCTGTGCGTCCGGAGCCTGTGCTCCACAACGGGAGAGGCCACAACAGTGAGAGGCCCACGTACCGCAAAAAAAAAAAAAAAAAAAAAAAAAAAAATGTTTCTTTTCCAAATGTATACAATTTATCTTTCTTGAATTAAAATTTTTTCCCGTTTTATTGAGAAATAATTGACATACATCACTAAGTTTAACGTGTACTGCATGTTGGTTTGATTTACATATATTGTAAAGCGATTACCACAATAGGTTTAGTTAACATCCATTATCTCATATAGATACAATAAAAAGGAAAGCTGGTGATGAAAACTCTTAGGATCTACTCTCTTAACAATTTTCCTATATCATACAGCAGTGTTAACTATAGTCATCATGTTGTACATTACATTCCTAGTCCTTATTTCTCTTATAAGGGAAGTTTGTACCATTTGACCACCTTCCTCCAATATCCCCTCCCCCCACATCCTGCCTCTGGTAACCAACCACAAATCCCATCTCTTTCTCTAAATTTGGTGGGGAATTTTTGTTTGTTTATTTTTATTTGTTTCTACTTATAACTGAGATCCTGCAGTATTTATTTGTCTTTTTTTGTCTGACTTATTTCACTTAGCATGATGCCTTCACGGTCCATCCTCAATGTCACAGATGGTAGGATTTCCTCATTATTTATGGCTGAATTACACTTACACACACACACACACACACACACACACACACACACCACGTCTTCTTTATCCATTCATCTATCAGTGGACACTTAGATTATTTCCGTGTCTTAGCTGTTGTAAATAATGCTGCTATGAAATGCGGTGCAGATATTTTTTCAAGTTAGTGCTTTCATTTCTTTTGGATATATTCCCAGAAGTAGAATTGCTGGATCTTGTGATAGTACTATTTTTAAGTTTTTGAGGAACCTCCATACTGTTTTCCATAGTGGATATACCAATTTACACACTCCCATCAGTGGTGCACAAGTGTTCCCTTTCCTCCACATCCTCCCCTTGATGATGGCCATTGTGAGGTGATATTTCATTGCAGTTTTAATTTGCATTTCCCTAATGACTAGTGAGTTGAGCATCTTTTCACTTACCTGTTGGCCATTCATATATCTTCTTTGGAAAAATGTCGATTCAGATCCTTTACCCATTTTTAAAATTGGATTATTTATTTTTTTGCTATTGAGTTGTATGAGTTCTTTATATATTTTGGATATTAACGCCTTATCAAATAGATGATGTGCAAATATTTTTCCCATAGGTTATCTTTTCACTTTGTTCATATTTTCTTTTTCTGTGTGGTTTTTTTAGTTTGATGTAGTCCCACTTGTTTATTTTTTATTTTGTTGCTTGTGCTTTAGGTGTGATTTCCAAAAAATCATTACCAAGACCTATGTCAAGGAGGTCTTTTTCCTGTGTTTTCTTCTAGGAATTTCATGGTTTCAGGTCCTACATTTAAGTCGTTAATCCATTTTGAGTTAATTTTTGTTAATGGGGTCAAGTTTCATTCTTTTCCATGTGAATATCCAATTTTCCCAGCACCATTTATTGAAGAGACAGTCTTTTCTCCACTGAGTATGCTTGGCTCTCTTGTCAATTATTAGTTGACTGTATGTGCTTGGGGTTTTTTTCTGGGCTATCAATTCTGTTCCATGGTCTATTTGTTTTTATGCCAGCACCATACTGTTCTAATTACTATAGCTTTATAGTATATCTTGAAATCAGGAAGTGCGATGCCTCTGTTTTTTTTGTTCTTTGGATTCAGGATTTCTTTGGCTATTCAGGGTCTTTTTTGATTTCACATAATTTTTAAGGGTGTTTTGTCTATTTCTGCAAAAAGTGCCATTGGAATCTTGATAGGGATTGCACTGAACCTATAGATGGCTTTTGGTAGTACTGACAGTTGAATAATATTAATTCTTCCAATCCGTGAACATACCTTTCCATTTGCTAGTGTCTTCTTTATTCCTAAGTATTTTATTGTTTCTGATGCTGTTGTAAATGTAATCAATTCTTTTATTTCTTTTTCAGAGAATTCATTGTTAGTGTATAGAAATGCTATTGATTTTTGCGTGCTAATTTTGTACCCTGCAACTGAATTCTTGGATTAGTTCTAATGGTTTTTTGGTTGTGTCTTGGGATTTTCTATATATAAAATCATGTCACTTGCAAATAGAAACAATTTTACTTCTTTTCCAGTTCTCATACCTTTTATTTCTTTTACTTGCCTTATTATTATTATTTTTTTGTGGTACGCGGGCCTCTCACTGTTGTGGACTCTCCTGTTGCGGAGCACAGGCTCCGGACGCGCAGGCTCAGCGGCCATGGCTCATGGGCCCAGCTGCTCTGCGGCGTGTGGGATCTTCCTGGACCAGGGCATGAACCCGTGTCCCCTGCATCAGCAGGCGGACTCTCAACCACTGCGCCACCAGGGAAGCCCTACTTGCCTTATTTTTTTAAAAAATATTTATTTATTTCTTTATTTTGGCTGTGCCAGGTCTTAGTTGTGGCATGCGGGACCTTTAGTTGTGAAATGTGGGCTCTTAGTTGCAGCATGCCTGTGGGATCTAGTCCCCTGACCAGGGATCGAACCCAGGCCCCCTGCATTGGGAGTGTGGAGTCTTACCCACTGGACCACCAGAGAAGTCCCTCTTTTACTTACCTTATTGCTCTAGCTAGGACTTCCAGTACTATGTTGAATGGGAGTGCGAGAGTGGGCAGCCTTGTCTTGTTCCTGATCTTAGAGGAAAAGCTTGCAACCTTTCAGCATTGAGTATGATGTTAGCTGTGGGCTTGTCATGTATGGTCTTTCTTATGTTGAGATATGTTCCTTCTATGCCTAATTTCCTAAGTATTTTATCATGAATGGATGTTGAATTTTGTCAAATGCTTTTTCTGTGGCTATTGAGATGATCATATGATTCTTTTCTTTCATTCTATTAATGTAATGTATCACATTGATTGATTTGCACATGTTGAACTATCCTTGCCTCCCAGGGAGAAATCCCGCTTGATCATGGTGAACAATGCATCCTTTTAATGTGCTGCTGAATTTGGTTTGCTAGTGTTTTGTTGAGAATGCTGCATATATATTCATCAAGGATATTGTTCTGTAGTTTTCTTTTCTAGTAATGTCCTTATCTGTCTTTGGTATTTGTAATGCTGGACCTTGTAAAATGAGTTTTGGGAGGTTCCTTCCTCTTCAGTTTTTTGGAAGAGTTTGAGAAGGACTGGTGTTAATTCTTCTTTAAACATTTGATAAGATTCACCAATGAGCCGTCTGGTCCTGGGGTTTTCTTCTTTGGGAAATTTTTGATTACTGACTCAACTCCTTACTAGTAATTGATCTATTTAGATTTTCTGTTTCTTTCTGATTCAGTCTTGGTAGGTTGTATGTTTCTAAGATTTTTTTCATTACTTCTAGGTTATCCAGTTTGTTGGCATCTGGTTGTTTACAGTAGCCTCTTACGACCCTTTGTATTTCTGTGGTATAAGTTGTAATGTCTCCTTTTTCATTTATAAGTTTGTTGATTTGGGTCCTCCCTCTTCTTTTCCTTGGTAAAGCTAGCTAAGGGTTTGT